AAGACCAGCCGGGTTGTCCCGGGGAAGTTTTTTATCACCCTAGGCACTTTTAAAAAAATTGGCCTCCACCCCCAAAACTCCCCCGCCTAGCCATGCCTGCTGGGGAATTCTGGAAATTGAAGTCCATATATCTTAAAGTTGCTAAGGTTGAGAAACACTGTCCTAGGGGCTTATAGAGGTATTGATGTAAATTGCTGTGGTATTTATTTTATCCACATGATTATTTTCTTGAGGAGTTTGCTTCTGATTTATCCTCGCAACCACAGTCTGGCCAGACTCCATTGGAGTTGGATGGCCAATAAATGCCCATAAATAAATAAATAAATGTGTAAAGTAAAGGATAGGAAACAGCCTTACTTTCCTGGAAGTCTGCAAAGGGGGGGCTGGACCACATGATCTCTTCAGCTTTATCTACCTACAATGAGGACTGAAAGATCCCCAGCCAGCTTACCCTCTGATTTGCCTTGCATCACATGAGCAAGATTTCTGGCCACTGGGGATCAAGGTTTATTTCTATGATTTCATTTATTGTTGTTGTTTTAATGTTTTAGGCCCGAGGGCTCATCGAAGAGTTTTTCCGTGAACAACAGTACATCTTGAAACATGAGTTTGTGAACATCCCCGCAATCCGTTACATAGAGCACAGTTTCCAAGTCACTCGACTGGACAGCTGTCGCCCAGGGTTTGGGAAAAACGACTTCACCCATAATGACTGTGCAAATTGCTGTGGTATTTATTTTATCCACATGCTTATTTTCTTGAGGACTTTGCTTCTGATTTATCCTCACAACCAGATTGAGCATTTGTGATTGGTCACAGATTACCCAGCAGTGGTTAAATTCTCTTGGCTTGTTGGTTAAGTCAAGCAAGAGCATTCATTAATTTTGACAAAGAGGCTTTTAGGATAAAATATTTTTTACTAAATTTGATTTAGGGTTCAAGATTTCTTTTCAGTGCACTGCCAGCTGCTAAAAGGTCTATACCTGCACAATGGAATGCTCCAAAAAAGATTATATCAAATTGCTACAGGTATTTTCAATCACTGTTCTGGGATATCATGAGGTTCTCTGGAATTTTACTCACTTTTGTCACTAAGAAGATTATTCCACTGTATCAAGAGCCTGTTAAATCTTGTTATTGGCCTCTAAGCTATGTGCTGTCCTCACCTCCCAACCCCCCCCCCGTAATGTTTGTGTCCTTTGCAAATTTGATGATCACATTTGCTAATATCTCATCCAAGTGATTTATAAATATATTGAACAGCTCTGGATCTAGAATGGAGCCCTGTGGTATGCTACTTAACACTTGCCATGGAGTCATTAACATACATTTATTGGGTATGATTGTTCAACCATCTAATAGTAGCTTGGTCCAGCTCACATTTCCTATCTTTTCTTCTAGACTCTCATGGGATATTTGTCAAATCCTTTGCTAAAATCAAGGTATACTATGTCTACCACATTCCTGTGGTTAACTTAACTGGTCTCTCTATTGAAAAAGGAGATCATGGTGTTTGGTATGACTTTACTCTTGATAAACCCGTGCTGGCTCCTGTCAAACAATGAATGCTTTTTTAAATACTCACAAACTGATTGTTGAATAAAGTGTTCCAGAGCTTTTCCTAATATCAGTGTGAAACTAATCTGTGATTAGCCAGGTTCTCTGTTTTCTCTTTTTTGAAGAAAGGAACAATATTTGCCCTTCTTCAATCCTCTGACACTATACCTATCCTTCATGATTTCTGAAAAATCACAAAAAGGGGCTCTGAGAGGATATCTACAAGCTCCTTCAAAACTCTTGAATATAATTGTTACGGTCTTGGAGACTTAAACTTGTTCCTGGAAGCCAGGTGCTCCTTAACCATCTATTTACTTAACTTGGGTTGCTTCATGTCAATCACTCTGCTTTTTTCCATTTGAACACAGGTCCTCTGTGGGGAGAAGACCAAAGCAAAATCTGAGTTGAGGAGTTCTGACCTCTCATGGTCACCTATTATTATCTTACTAGCTTCTCCTAGCAGTGGGCCCTGCTCTCCCCTTTTCTTCCTTTTGTTGCCTTCAGCTTCCCTTGTGAGATTAAATTCTTTGTGTGCTTTAGCCTTTTTAACTACTTTCTGCCAATATTAGCTACTTCCTAGGGGTCCTCCTTGGTGATTATACCCAGCTTCCATGTCCTGTACATGTCGCTTCATGTACAGTATGTCCCAAATGGCTTCCTAAGGCTGTTCCCCACCACCACCTTCATTTTGTTCCTTACTGGAATTGTGTGCAATTGTACTTCCAATATCTTTGTTTCGTCAAGTTCCAACCTCATGTGCTTCTTTGGATTGAGGGATTCTCTTTGTTTGACCCTCTCTACTCAATTTCAAAGCAATTCCTTATTTCTGTCAAATCACTCTGCATTTTCTCTCTCTCTTTTCATCTTAATTGTTCCTTAATCTCGTCTGTTGCATTCTTTGCACCTACCTATTTCTCTGCATACACCTTATGCAATATCATTCTCTCAACCTCATTTTAACAGCCATCATTCTCAAATATGCATTTTTCCTCATCCATAGCCTTTATTTTAGTCAAATACAACATAAAACTACAGAGATGCAGGAACTGTGGCTTTACATTATTAACATTATGTAAAATATCAGAGTTCTAAATTTTGTAAGTAAAATTATAGCGCTACTAATAAGCTACTAGTATGAGAGCCAGTTTGGTGTAGTGGTTAAGGCATCAGGCTAGAAACAGGAGACTGAGTTCTAGTCCCACCTTAGGCACAAAGCCAGCTGGGTGACCTTGGGCCAGTCACTCTCTCTCAGCCCTA